TAGGTTAACTGGGAGGGATAGGTTAACTGGGAGGGATAGGTTAACTGGGAGGGATAGGTTAACTGGGAGGGATAGGTTAACTGGGAGGGATAGGTTAACTGAGAGGGATAGGTTAACTGAGAGGGATAGGTTAATTAACTGGGAGGGATATGTTAACTGGGAAGATAGGTTAACTGGGAGGGATATGTTAACTGGGAGGGATAGGTTAACTGAGAGGGATAAGTTAACTGGGAGGGATATGTTAACTGGGAGGGATATGTTAACTGGGAAGATAGGTTAACTGGGAGGGATATGTTAACTGGGAGGGATATGTTAACTGGGAGGGATAGGTTAACTGAGAGGAATAAGTTAACTGGGAGGGATAGCTAGGTTAACTGGGAGGGATATGTTAACTGAGAGGGATAAGTTAACTGGGAGGGATAGCTAGGTTAACTGGGAGGGATAGGTTAACTGGGAGGGATAGGTTAACTGGGAGGGATAGGTTAACTGGGAGGGATAGGTTAACTGGGAGGGATAGGTTAACTGGGAGGGATAGGTTAACTGGGAGGGANCCCCCAATCCCTCCTCCAGCCTCCCTCCCTCTCTTCCAGCATCCTCCCATCTTTCCCTTCTCCCCCTCCCCCTTTAGATTCTCGCCACAACGATGCAACAACAACAACATCAGCCGCTGCCAGATCAACAAGCCGGAACCAGAATTACTGCCACATCGGGTGTTATCGCGATCAAAAATGCAATTATTAATTAGAATTTTTCTTAACGCGATAAAATGAAGAAGGAAATATCGTGAGCCTAAATTTAAATTTAGCGACAGAAATTCGGAACATAGCGACACTGACGGCAGGGGGTGCAGCAGCCTGCAGGTGCAGCAGCCTGCAGGTGCAGCAGCCTGCAGGTGCAGCAGCCTGCAGGTGCAGCAGCCTGCAGGTGCAGCAGCCTGCAGGAGTGGCCAATACAGCTGTCCCCCAGTGGGTGAGTGACCAGAAGAGTGGGTGAGTGGCCAGAAGAGTGCATGAGTGGCCAGAAGAGCGGATAAATAGCCATTAGAGCTTGTGAGTGACCAATAGATTGGGTGAGTGGCCAGTAGAGTGGGTGAGTGACCAATAGAGTGGGTGAGTGGCCAGAAGAGTGTTTGAATAGCCATTAGAACGGGTGAGTGACCAATAGAGTGGGTGAGTGACCAGTAGAGTGGTTGAATAGCCAGTAGAGTGGTTGAGTGGTAATGTACTGCCAAACTCTATCCCTTTGTCCAGCAAGTAGCAATCACCGCTTGTTGCTACATTTCGCCGCGGCACAAAACTCCACATAATCCATATAGCAAATTCCAGTTGCAGTTCCGAGCGCTCACACTCATAAAAATCATAGGCGGATTATAGGTGGGCAGCGGTAATTCGGCCATGACATGGTCGAATGGGCTGAATATAGAGCCATTCATCAAATGAACTCGGGCAAAGTTTATAGAGCGCGGCACAATAAATTGCGAGGGTAGACCTAGAGAGGGGGAATGGGCGCTCGTATTGCCTCGGTATTGCAACAATTGAATTATGAACCAATTTGTTTACCAAGTAAATGTTTTAAAAATGAGGACTATTCACACAGAAAAAATAAATGGGTCGTACTGTCCAAATAGTGACAAACTTTCTCTTCCATAACCCGTGGCACTGATAAGGACGTAACACTGATCAGCCCTTTAGCTGGGCCAAAATGAGTCAAGATGACCCACGCAATGCACAATGCACAATGTTCGTCTCTATTCGGACACTGTTTCTATCCTTCTTTTTGAGTTATGGAGAAGAAGATGCCAAGATAAGTAGCGATAAATGTAAATATAGCGATAACTATAAATAAATGAATGTGTAGAGCATCCATTAGAGCGTATGCAGAACGTGTACAGAGCGCGTACGTACAGAGCGTGTACAGAGCGCGCACAGAGCGTGTACAGAGCGTGTACAGAGCGTGTACAGAGCGTGTACAGAGCCTGTACAGAGCGTGTACAGAGCGTGTGCAGAGCGTGTGCAGAGCGTATGCAGAGTGTGCGCAGAGCACGTACAGAGCACGTACAGAGCGTGTACAGAGCGCGCACAGAGCGTGTACAGAGCGCGTACAGAGCGTGTACAGAGCGCGTACAGAGCGCGTACAGAGCGCGTACAGAGCACGTACAGAGCGCGTACAGAGCGCGTACAGAGCGCGTACAGAGCGCGTNAATTGTGATGTGACTGAAAGAGAATTGTGATGTGACTGAAAGAGAATTGTGATGTGACTGAAAGAGAATTGTGATGTGACTGAAAGAGAATTGTGATGTGACTGAAAGAGAATTGTGATGTGACTGAAAGAGAATTGTGATGTGACTGAAAGAGAATTGTGATGTGACTGAAAGAGAATTGTGATGTGACTGAAAGAGAATTGTGATGTGACTGAAAGAGAATTGTGATGTGACTGAAAGAGAATTGTGATGTGACTGAAAGAGAATTGTGATGTGACTGAAAGAGAATTGTGATGTGACTGAAAGAGAATTGTGATGTGACTGAAAGAGAATTGTGATGTGACTGAAAGAGAATTGTGATGTGACTGAAAGAGAATTGTGATGTGACTGAAAGAGAATTGTGATGTGACTGAAAGAGAATTGTGATGTGACTGAAAGAGAATTGTGATGTGACTGAAAGAGAATTGTGATGTGACTGAAAGAGAATTGTGATGTGACTGAAAGAGAATTGTGATGTGACTGAAAGAGAATTGTGATGTGACTGAAAGAGAATTGTGATGTGACTGAAAGAGAATTGTGATGTGACTGAAAGAGAATTGTGATGTGACTGAAAGAGAATTGTGATGTGACTGAAAAAGAATTGTAATATGACTGAAACAAAATTGTGATGTGATTGAAAGAGAATTGTGATGTGACTGAAACAAAATTGTGATGTGATTGAAAGAAAATTGTGATGTGACTGAAAGAGAATTGTAATATGACTGAAACAAAATTGTGATGTGATTGAAAGAGAATTGTGATGTGACTGAAACAAAATTGTGATGTGATTGAAAGAAAATTTTGATGCGACTGAAAAAAATTTTGATGTGTTTGAAAGAAAACTGTGATGTGACTGAAGGAGAATTGTTATTCGGCTGAAAGAGAATAGTGATGTGACTGACCTGGAGCGTCTGGTGGTTGGGTCCTTCATCACCATCACTTCGTTGATGTCACCAAACTTGCAGAAGTATTCACGGAGGCCTTCTGCACACACAATCAAACAGCATCTGTTACCATCTGGAAAATTCATTTCTAACTCCTCATTGTTATAAACACTTCACAGTGTTGTTGTTTCTTACTGTAGTTATCATCATTCAACATAATTTAGAACTCTACACTGTTCCTCAAGAGTATATATTCATATGTTCACTAACAGGGAGTGTAATGATATAACTCTTCACTGTTCCTGCAATATATACTTATAACTGTTCATTGTTCCTGCAGTGTATACTTATAACTGTCAACTGTTCCTGCAGTGTCTATTTATTGTATAAGTTTATTGAAACGTTAACAGTTCAAGGAACTTCAGGAATCAATTAAGTAACTACTTGATTACGAACGTGTCTTCATCGTTCATCTTTAACCGCTGATTAAAAGGGATCAATAAAAGTTAATTCTATAACCTTGTAGAAAATATGGGGCGCTGCCCTGTAGCCAACCTCAATTTACTACAATATCCCGCAGCTGATATATTGCAGCTGATATAAAGCAGCTGATATATTGCAGCTGATATAAAGCAGCTGATCTATTGCAGCTGATATAAAGCAGCTGATATATTGCAGCTGATATATTGCAGCTGATATATTGCAGCTGATATATTGCAGCTGATATATAGACTGAAAGAGAATTGTGATGTGACTGAAAGAGAATTGTGATGTGACTGAAAGAGAATTGTGATGTGACTGAAAAATAATTGTGATGAGACTGAAAGAGAATTGGATGTGACTGAAAAAAGAATTGTGATTATGTGACAGAAAGAAAATTGTGATGCGGCTGAAAAAGAATTGTTTTGCGACTAAAAAGAATTGTGATGAGATTGAAAGATAATTGTGATGTGACTGAAAAAAAATTGCGATGCGACTTAGAGAAAATTGTATTTGACTTAAAAGGAATTTTAATGGCTGGTGAATAATTATGATGTGACTGAAAAAGAATTGTTATTCGACTGAAAGAGAATAGTGATGTGACTGACCTGGAGCGTATTTAAAAATAACCCTGGCAATCTAAAAGTAAACAATTTCAATTTTTAAATAACTCCAATCATCAATCAAAAAACAATTTCAATTTATAAATAATGCGAGAAAACGTAGGCACGAGACAGACATTTAGCGTCAGGTAAGGCATGCCTGTAATAGCAGACCAGGCACCGCAGTTCGGGTCTGATGATTGAGCTGGAAAAAATGACACCGGCTGACTGCACTCAGAAAACTAAATTGTACAATTTTCGAATAACGAAACACTTATCATCCGGAGTTATGAGCAGAAGGAACAACCGTAGCACTGATACGCTCTTCTGCAGCGCCGAACTGGGTCAAGATGACCCACACAAAAGCAAAAAAGTGCATAGTTATTTGGACAAGATCTCAGTCGATTTTGTGAGTGTATAAGCAAAACGTTGCTCAGACGCCGCATTAAAATCCTGACGAAACCTGGGAAAAAGTACACGCAAAAAACTGTCTGCTGCAACACCGGAGTGAAGCGCCCCTGGGCCCGTAGGATTAATTCGGCGTCTAGCATTCACGTGCCCACGTGTATGATTAATTCACTTGTCCACTTGACGTAATTGTTCAACATTTGGTATAAATCCTTCTAGATATTAAACATTCGGAAATATGGTTGTGCATTATTTCTACGAAAGTTCACATAAGTTCTAAGTTTAAGATCGTATCTCACTTCTAAGTTTACTTTCTTACATCGCAATTTTCTTATATTTATTATCTTTTTATGCATATACTTGGTCCGTGCGCACAATTCTTAAAATTATAAAATAAATACACGTGCTTTTTAATAACTTTAAAATGAGAACATTCTAATGCAAATAATAATATTCTACTGTGAAGAATCGATAAAAAAAACAGTCAATACTTTTCCCTCCAAATTTCTAAACCACAAATCCACCGACACAAACTTCTACAAACTTGATCCAGACAATTTTTGCAGCCTTTGGTCTAGAATGTGCCTCTAAAATTAAAGGAATTTTATTCGCGTCTAACAACACTCATTGAAAGATCGGCCGTCGATTTCATACTAGGAGCGTTCGGATCTACACAAAGAAAAATATGTGAGACCTGTCTCTTATA